ACTCTATGGCACATGTACAGTGTAACACAGAACAACATGTCACATTTATAGCACATCACAAGACATCTCGCACTCGAGTGGGTTGTAAGAGTCAAACTGTGTTCATCCCTGACATTTGCACTGACAGCTCTAATGGACAGCGGAGCACAGGGCTGTTTGTATCTGTTTGACTCACATCTGGGAGCCCTAAAGCGTTTGCCAGAAGGAAGAAGTTGATACTCAGAGTCGAGGATGTGGGGAGGATCTGATATCATTTTTCCTGCCTGTTTGATTATGGATTTTTCAAAGATTGTCTGCAGGGAGGGGTGCTGTTTCACTCCCATGACCTTCAAAGCTGTCTGGCTGAGGCGGGTAATTTGCGATTTTAAATGAACTGATAGATTACCAAACCACACTGAAATACCATATCTGATAATGCTCTCGATTACAGCACGGTAAAAGAGTAGCATTACTTCCTGTCGAACCCCAAACACTCTTCGCAGGAAATACAAGCGCTGCTGAACTTAGGTGCAAACACTCTCAACAGGAGAAGTCCAGCACAGGCTGTGTGGGTAGAGCCAGTCGGAGACACAGCTTTCTGATCATCACTTGGGTACTGGGATGACTAACTTGACCTACATTGGGTTTGTGGAAATTACCTTTTTTGGCAACTTTAGTGTCCTCCTTCTTCCCAGTAGCCCCGCCCTGCCCCCCAGTGGCCACACCCCCAGCGGTCTGATTGGCCAGGGCGCTGGGTTTGTCCTCCTTTTTGGGAGGGTCCTGAAGGAAGGAACGGTGGTGCGTGTTAGCGTGTGTTAGTGTGAGTCGGCGCAGGAGCTCGTGCTTGCGAGTCCACTGCAGTACCTTATCCTTCCTCTTGGAGGCGCTCTTGCTGGTCTTGACGCCGCGCTCCAGCGAGGTGCTGCTGGGATAGCTGAGTGGGCGGTCTGCCTTGGAGTCTGCACGGCGGGGCTGAGGGGGTTGGGGCAGAGAGTAGAGAGAGAGAGGGAATACAGAGGAGGTGAAGAGAGATTGAGAGAGAGGCCTGGGGAGGAGAGAGGGTGATAGGTCATAGATCATAGGTCATGACCCCCCCCTCCCGGCTACGCAAATCCCCCTGACGCCTCCCCTCCCAGCTACGCGAATACCCCCTGACACCTCCCCTCCCAACTACGCGAATCCCCCTGACGCCTCCCCTCCCAGCTACCCGAATCCCCCCTGACCCCTCCCCTCCCGGCTACGCGAATCCCCCCTGAC